AATAATAATAATAATAATAATAATAATAATAATAATAATAATAATAATAATAATAATAATAATTTCATATTATTATTAGAGTAGTCCTCGTCTTACGACCGCAACTGATTCCGAAACTTAAGTTGCTAAGTGTTGTGGCCCGCTGGAGGCTGATGGAGCTGGCAGCAGAGTTGGACTGTAGCAAGGGGGTTGGGGAGGAACCTGGGCCAGCCTTGGAAGTTGGGGAGGGCTCGGACAAGGGCTCTGCATCAGAGGCAGAGTTGGGGCCCGGGCAGGCTGGCAGTCAGCAGCTGCCTTCGGGCTTCGGACAGCAGTGAGATGGGGGAGCTTCTGGAGCCGGTTCCCAGCCGGCTACAGAAGACTAGAACAATTGAGAGTCGACTTGGGAGTAAGGCCACACCTCAGAGATGATTGGCCCCTCCCATAGGACATCAAAGAGGAACAAAGGGGATGTGAGCTTTTGCAGGAAGCAATTAGTTCATCTGGTCAATTCAAGTTCTGTTGGACTCTGTGCCAAGTTTGGCCTTGCTCTGCGCCTGGCCATTCATTTTCTGGCCGCATCCCAAGTGCGATAAGGTGGGTGTCAACTAAAAAAATACTCCTTTGGTCTTTTTAGTCGACATCAGAAAGGGAGGGGGAAAGCAGTGCATTCCTTAAATGCTTCAGATAATTGCTAGTCAGCCGAAGCTGTTGGCACGCAAGATTATTACTGGAGAGCATGATTGATGACTCTTGGCTATGGATGTGTCCCATTGCAGAATATACATCCAGGGAGTGGGGGAAAGACCAGGGTCAAGGGGGAAATGAATGATGTGTCTTACTGTCAGCTGCACCCAGGAAATGCCAACATGGTCACTCCTAATAAATCATTTTTTTTTAACTCTGAGAGATGCGGCTAGAGACTTATGATTTGAATGGGGTGGTGTATTGTTGGAACCCTGACAGTAGGTGTTTATCAGCTTTCCCCTGAAAGACTGTTTGTGAAGACTGGCAGGTTGTGAATGAACGTAATTCACAGCTGTGGGAAATAAAAAACGGTTTTGCCGGGATCTAAGATTGTGTTTGATGCTTTCAAAAGAAGCCAAGGTCAGAACACTAAGTGAGAAATTTGTTAAATAGGGTTTTTGCTCCCTTTTGCGACTTTCCCTGCCAGATTTTACTAAGCGAATCGATGCAGTTGTGAAATTAGCAACAGCATTGTTACGGGAATCGGGTTTCCCCGTTGACTTGGCTTCTTAGCAGGTCGCCAAAGTGGATCGCATGACACACACACACCACGTCCCCCCAGGACAGTGCGACCATCATAAATGTGAGTCAATTGTCAAGCATCCGGATATAAATCATGTGACTGCGTGCGTGGTCAAAAGTGTAAAGAATGGTCATGTCACTTTTTTCGGTGCCGTCGTAACTTTGAACGGTCCCTAAATCAATGGGTCCACACGTCTTAAAGCTGTCAAGTTTGAAGGACCCTGATCTAGTCTGTCTGTCTGTCTGTCTTGTCTCCTCATCCATCCATCCATCTCCATCCATCCATCCATCCATCATCTATCACAAGGGTCTTCAAACTTGGCAAGTTTCAGACTTGTGGACTTCAACTCCCAGAATTCCTGAGCTAACCACGACTGGACGAGGAATTCTGGGAGTTGAAGTCCAGAAATCATAAAGCTGTCAAGTTTGGAGACCCCTGCCTTAAATGAATGGTCGTAGCTCGAGGACTGCCTGTATTGAAAATTCCCTTCAAAGAGAATTGAAAGTTTCTTTTAGATTCTCAACTGTGGTGGCTGATTTAAGCCAAGTGGACTTCAACTTCCAGAATTTCCCTAGCCAGCCATGCTGATTTTAGATTTAGATCAGGGATCTTCCAATTTGAGAGCTTTAAGACTTGTGGACTTCAACTCCCAGAATTCCTCCTCCAGTCATGTTAGCTCAGGAATTCTGGAAGTTCACAAGTCTTCAAGTGGCTAAGTTTGGAGATCTCTGTGATAGATCAAATGAAATATTGGTCCAATTGTCTTGATTCAACCTTTTAGATACTTTTACTCTGAGCCTCCATTGACAACAATGGATGAAAACTAACCAAGGAGAGATCCAACCTAGAAATAAGGAGAAATTTCCTGACAGAACAATTCCTCAGTGGAATTTCGGTCTTCAAACTTGACAGCTTTAAGACTTGTGGACTTCAACTCCCAGAATTCCTCCTCCAGTCATGTTAGCTCAGGAATTCTGGGAGTTGAAGTCCACAAGTCTTAAACTTGCCAAGGTGGAAGACCCTTGATGTAGATTAACAGAGTTGGAAGGGACCTTGCAGGTCATCTAGTCCAACCCCCTCCCGGCCCAAGTAGGAGACCCTACACCACAGTCCAATCTCTACTTGAAAGTCTCAAGTGATGAAGCTCCCACATTTTAGCAGGGCTTGGGGTTTGGGGTGGTTTTTTTGGGGGGTGCAGATAGTCCTTGACTTAGAACATTTTATTTAGTGACTTAAAGTGGTCACACGATCCCTTTTGGTGACCTACTGACATGTCAAAGCCAATTCACTGAGCAACTGTGTGACTAACTTAACACCTGCAGTGCAGGGGTGGTATTCTACCGGTGTCAACTCATAAAACATTGCTATGCCTGTTTTAGTAGTTGCCATAAAAAAGGGGGGAGGAAAGAAATCTGGAAGAGCCGTGCAGCAGGTTGGAAGTGAAAGTACATTCCAACTCTTATCTTTAAAAGATTGTAACTAAACTACCGGAGCTTTTGCCCGAGAATATATTTAATTGGAGAATGTGATTAATGACACCCAGCCCGTAATTGGAGAACGTGATTGGTGACACCCAACCTATGAATGTGCTCAGCTGGAGAATCTGATTTATGACGCACCAAGGGGGGAGGAAGGGGGGAAACCGGGTCCCAGGGGACTGTAAATGACGTAGGCCAGAGTTGGCTTCATCCAGGGCAGTGCCAGTAGGTCGCCTCTAATAAATCCTTTGAAGTTTTTTGAAGTTTGGCTCGAGAATCATGATTTCATTAGGGCGATTGCCGGAATCCTGACAAACAGTTTGGCCCGGTTCAGACGAACTGGCAGTAAACAAATGTTATCGTTCGGCCGAACCGGGCTACCGATTTGGCCGAACCACTATTTCTTTTTCTTTTCTTTTTTTTTCCTCCCGACGATCCCCCTCGCTGTCTTACTGCTTCACCCAGGAGGCCTCCCCCCACCGAGCCCAGGAGGCAAAAAAAGGGAGCATGTGGGGAGGTGGCCCTGCAAAACCAAAAGAAGCCACGCCCACCCAATCACATGGCCACGCCCCCTAGCCACGCCCACCGAGCCGGGAGTAAAGATACTTGCATCCCACTCCCTGCTGCAGTGAATTCCCTTAACAGGTGTCACAAGAATGGTCGTAAAATGGGGTCAAAACTCGCTTCATGCCTAACGGCTGGGTTGCTAATTGAACAACTGCAGTGAATCACCGGCATCTCTCTCTCCCTTCCTCCCTCCCTCTCTCCCTCTCTCTCTCTCTCCCTCTCTCTCTCTCTCTCTCCATTGGCTGCTTTAAGCCCGGTGGACTCCAACTCCTAGAATTCAGCTGCAGCTGGCTGGGGAATTCTGGGAGTTGAAGTCCACCAGGCTTATAGCAGCCGGTGTTGAAAGAGAGAGAGAGGCAGACAGCTTTCGATGCCAGTTTTACAAAACTAAAATATTTCCATTCTGAGCACAGAGGTCGGCCTGGTCTCCTTCCCACCCCACCCCAATATTAACATCCTGGCTTTTTTTGTGTGTTTTTGTTCCCCAGCAATTACTCCGAGAGATGCAACAGATGGCCAGCCGCCCCTTCGCTTCCATCAACGTCGCCTTGGAAACGGACGAAGCGCCCCCGGATCTCATCGGAGGTAGCATTAAGGTGAGAAGATGCCCCTTCCCATCACTCCAACCTCTCTCCCCCCCCCCCCCCACAGCCCTTCCTGCCCTTCATATTTTATCGATGGCTATGTTGATGGGTCCGTATGCCCGGATGGCATGTCTGGAGTCTTAACTATATTAGAAACTAGCTGGATGCTCATGCTTCGCTACGAAACGATGTGGTCGGGCTTAGTTTTTGGGGAGGAAAATAAGGAGAAAAAAATTCTGCCTCTGCCTACCAGCATCCATTGGTATTCACCTGGCTAGGGTCCTGTTAGTGGGTGAGAGAGTGGAGGGCTGTTTGGAAACTGAAAGAGTATTTGCTATGTGAGTAAGAAGGAGACAGCAAGGAGCCTGGGCGTGGCTTAGCTCAACTGTTCTGGACTAAAGCTGCTTGGTGCTGTGAAACTGAAACTCCTCTCCTCTGCTTGTGTTTTGCATGTGGAAGAGATTTCTTTTCAGGTGGGGAGGGGGAGTAGAACTCTTTAGCATCAGAGCGTGTTGTTGTTAATAATAATAATAATAATAATAATAATATAGGAAATGCTCTAAATGCTCTGATGGTCATTTGGAAAAATCCTTTCTTAGTGAGCACCTAGAAGCCAAGAGGAACATAGATGCCAAATTTCAAGTTTGTAGGCTTGACGGTTCTTGTCGTGGTTAGTTGGCAGCAGGTGCAGATGGCTGAGGAGAGCGAGGTCTCAGATGAGGGTCCAGGACCATCAGGGAATGGGCTGCTGCCTTCAGAGATTGTGGGGGCTGGCAGCAGTGACGAGGAGGATCCCGAGGAGCCTGTGCCAAGTGCGCGTGAGCGCAGGATGATTCATAGAAGAGAACAGCTGGAGCAGCAAAGGAGACTCGGGAGTAATGCAACGTAACGGCGCCTCCCTCCCGGAAATATAAGCCTGCTTTCAAAAGGTTTTTGCTTTTGCAGAAAGCAAAAACGTTCTGCAGACTCAGCATTGTGTGTCTCTACAACTCTGGCTTATCTGAAGGCTTTTCTGGTTGGGACTAATTTGGCTGCAAGCCATCTTTTATCTACAAAGAAGTTTATTTGTAGATGAAAGCTGAGAAGGTTTGAGTTGCTGCATTTGTTTGAGACTTTCTTGCTGGTAACAGAGTTGGGTCAGAACAGTTCTGGGGATTTTTGTGATGATGCGTGAGGGGTAATTTCGTGTATATCTATCTATCTATCTATCTATCTATCTATCTATCTATCTATCTATGTCTGTCTATCTAATCTGTCTGTCTGTCTTGTCTGTCTGTCTATTTATCTATCATCTCTCTCTCTCTCTATCTATCTATCATCTATCTATCTATCTATCTATCTATCTATCTATCTATCTATCTATCTATCTATCTATCCATCCATCCATCCATCCATCCTGCAAACCAGAGTTTTGGCATCTGTGTGCCCAATCCATTGCGCCTTGGTTTTGATCTGCGTTCCTTCCTCCGGGCTGCTCCTTTGCATCTTGTGAGGGATAGTGTTGAAATTTTTTTAAAAAATAAAATCCAATTTTTCTTCTTTTTTTCCCCCCTCTCAAGAAGATAGGCTTAATACCTTATAATTAAGGACCACACAATTTAAAATTAAGGGGGGGGGGTTATAATACTGCTGGATACTGCACAGGGCAAGCCACACTTGGCATACAGGTCCATGTAGTGACCATTCCAACATATAACAGAATTGAAAAAAAGTGACTCGAGGCCGTTTTTCAGACTTACGACTGTTGCGACACCCTCAGTGTTTGCATGATTTACATTCAGATGCTTAGCAACTGACGCGTACTTATGACTGTTGCTGTATCCCCAAGGCCATGTTGTCAAAATTCACACCCTTGGCCACTGACTCGTACTTATGACCGTTGCAACATCCCAATGGTCATGTAATCAAAACTCAGACCCTTGGCCACTGACTCGTACTTAGGACCGTTGCTGTGTTCCCAAGGCCATGGTATCAACTTTGGCGACCTTCTGTCAATCAATGGGAAAGCCAGAATGACTTAACAGCCATTTCACTGAACTTAACCCCTGTGGCCAGAACAATTGTAAAACGGGGTCAAACTCACTTAGCAAATGTCTCCCTTAGCAACGGGAATTGGGTCCTCGGTCGAGGACGTAGCTGTGCAGTGTCCAGTTCTGGTCCCCGAGATGTTGAGAGACCCCTAGAAAGAGTGCAGAGAAGAGTAACCAAGATAATTAACGGACTGGAGGATTAAAGATAGGAAGGATGGCTGCAGGAAATGGGCATGTCTACTGCAGGGCTGTCAAACTCGATTTCATTGAGGGCCACATCAGAGTTGAGTTTGACCTCAGAGGGCTGGGAGTGGGGCGTGACACGAGACTCGTGGGAGGGGGGCACCTGTGGTGGCCAAAGCAGAACTTCCCTGAGACCCTCCCTCACTCTCATAACCTTCCTTCCTTCCTTCCTTCCTTCCTTCCTTCCTTCCTTCCTTCCTTCCTTCCTTCCCTCCCTCTTAAGATCAACCATCCTTCTTCCCTCCTTTCCTTCCTTGCTTGCTTGCTTCCTTCCTTTCTTTCCTCCCTCTTAAAATCAACCAACCTCTCTCCCTCCCTTCCTCCCTTCCTTTTGTCGCTCTTAAGATCAACCTTCCTTCTTCCCTCCTTTCCTTCCTTGCTTCCTTGTTTCCTTCTTTCCTTTCTTTCCTCCCTCTTAAAATCAACTTCCCTTCATCCCTCCCTTCCTTTCCTCCCTCTTAAAATCAACCTTCCTTCTTCCTTCCTTTCCTTCCTTGCTTCCTTGCTTCCTTCCTTCTTCCCTTCCTTCCTTCGTTCCTTCCTTTCGTCCCTCTTAAGATCAACCTTCCTTCTTCCCTCCTTTCCTTCCTTGCTTCCTTCCTTCCTTCCTTCCTTCCTTCCTTCCTTCCTTCCTTCCTTCCTTCCTTTCCTCCCTCTTAAAATCAACTTCTCTCCTTCCCTTCATCCCTTCCTTCCTTCGTTCCTCCCTCCCTTCCTTCCTTTCCTCCCTCTTAAGATCAACCTTCCTTCTTCCCTCCTTTCCTTCCTTGCTTCCTTCCTCCCTCCCTCCCTCCCTCCCTCCCTCCCTTCCTTCCTTCCTTTCATCCCTCTTAAGATCAACCTTCCTTCTTCCCTCCTTTCCTTCCTTGCTTTCTTCCTTCCTTCCTTTCTTTCCTCCCTCTTAAAATCAACCGACCTATCTCCCTCCCTTCCTTCCTTTTTGGAATCCCTTGACAAGCTGCCACTGTTCTCCCCTTCCTCCCGTTCATTCCCACCACCCCCTCCCCCTATTCCTAGACGGGGAGGGGGGAACGATGCGAGATGCCAGGCATATGTTCCTAATTAATATGGAAGGAAACCGTCATGGTTCTGCATACAAAACGGGCCAGGGATTTGGTTAGCTCTCACCTGCTTTGAAATGCATCCTCTTCACCGTGCGTCTGTGGGCTCTTTTGATGGAAGCCGAAGCGACACGGCCACCGGCAATCGGGCGGCGTGCGGTTTGTCAGTCTCGCCACGTTTTGGGAAGCGGGGGGGGGGGGTTTGGGAAAACCCACCCAACGTGGCTCGCTTGCTTACCTGCTCCACCACCTCTTCTACTCTGACATTCTTTCCTCGGCTTTTTCCTCTACCTGTATTCCCGCTACAGGTAAATCAAAGGCGGCCACGTTCCAAGCCATGTGCCGCTGGGCCACCCTGGCACCGTTTGCATTTCTTCTTACATGTTCTGTCTTGGGGGAGCGATTCCCTTTAGATCTCCCAGTTGTAGCTACCAAAGCCTGTTGCGTCTTGCACAACATTTAAAAAAAAAAAAAATCCACAATTTTTGAGGTTCAAGGTAGGAAGAAAGAACGGACGCCATCGCTCTGTGATATCGGATAGTCCTTGATATCAGATCGTCTTCATTTGGGGTCCGTTCGGAATTGCAACAGCACTGGAAAAAGTGAATTTGGTTCAGGGATGGGATTCAAAAAAAAAATTCCCAGCGACCAATTCGCTGCCCGGTTGCTGGGTGGGTGTGGCCATAGTGGGTGTGGCATACCAGAACTTTTGGGGAGGGCCGTTTTTTGCCTTCCCCAGAGTCCGGAGGTTTCAGGCCTCTGGGAGGGAGAAAATGGCCTCCCCCCGTGCTCCAGCAGCTAGAAACAGACCCCTTTCCGAACTTCCGGTACTTCCGGTTCGGCCCATTTTCCTCCCTCCCAGAGCCTCCCCGCGGATCCTGCACTTACCTGCATCCAAAACAGGCTGCGGGAGGGGCAGGGCAGGTGGTCATTTCAACTACCGGTTCGGCGAACCAGATGCAAATTTAACAGCCGGTTCGCGTGAACCGGTGTGAACCGGCTGAATCCCACCTCTGCTTATGATAGTTTCTCCTACTTATGACTGTTGCAGCATCTCCTTGGTCACGTAATCAAAATCCAGGGGCTTGGCAACTGCCTCTCACTTATGACGGTATCCCCAGGGGTTGTGCGATTCCTCTTTTGCGACCGTCGGCTAAGCGAAGAGAACGGGGAAGCCAGATTCACTTCCGGTGCTGCTCGCTTAGCCACCTCAGGGTTTCACTTACCAACTGGCAAGACAGGTCGTAAAACCGGGCAAAACTTGCTGAGCGTATTGGGGTGAATTGTAGTCGTACGTTGAGGACTACCTGTATTGACAGGTTATGAATAGCACCGCAGAAGAGATGCCGAATTTCACGAACCGCATCTTAACATCTGGAAGTAAGAAGGATAAATTATCTCGGAAGCTGAATAAGCAAAATTCCTGCTTTCGTTGTCTATGGAGTTTCTCAGTTATCCTGATTGTCCCAAAAGTGCCTTTTTTTCCCCCCAAGAGGCAACTGGACTTTCTGGTTTTTCTTTGAAGACATTTCACTTCTCACCCCAGAAGCTTCTTCAGCTCTGACTGAACGGTGGGGAACGGAAGGATTTATGCTTCATGCGGACAGCTGGTCATTTGCATCCTTTTTAGACAATCATTGAGGCCACTTGGAAGTTTGTATATACCCTCAGGGTCACC